CCGGCCCAGGGCAGCGTCCGCAGGCGCCTGCGGGGACGACGGAACGGACCGTGATTGTTCTGATAAATCGAAGTGTGTCGATAGCTTTGTAGGGAACGGGTGTTGACGGAATGTTAGATAGTCACTGTCCACTCTCTAGACAAGGCGCCCCCCCCCAAAATGTGGACACACTTTAACAGCTGGTAACGCACTTAATTTTGAAAATGAACAGTATGTCAATCAACACTGATTGTATAATAGTTCGAAGTGTGTGTGTGTGTGTGTGTATATATATATATAAATATATATATATATATATAACAGTTGATACAAATGTTTAATAGTTGTGGGAAACTGTTTATTGCCTTCACTACCTGATAAGCATAGACCGAACCCCCCCCCACAATCAATGATGAGAGAGAACCACTGGTCGGCTGCCTCCCACACGCCCCCACACTGGGGATGGAGCCCACAAGCCGGGCATGTGCCCTTGACTAGAATCGAACCCGGGACCCTTCTGGCCACAGGCTGACATTCTAACCACTGAGCAACACCAGCCAGGGCTCTGATCTTATTGATAAGAATAATAATTTCTCGATTGAGGCAACAAAACAGAAAAAGGCCGATTTCCTTTTCCATTAAAAAAAAAAAAATGGTGCGGCGATGCCCCGATCCTGGATTTTTCACGGGGACGCGGGACGTTCCATGAGGATAATGAGATGTCGGTGGCTGAGGGGGACCCGTTGCAGCCCGATGGGGAGGACAGTGGGGTCCTGGCGCCCCGTCCTGTTTGACGGGCGGCTGTGGGCACACGGGTTCCCGCAGGCGCGTTAATATTGCAGCAGCAGCAGCAGCCCTGCCTGGGAGGCCGCGTGCTCCGCCCGTCGCCCGGCCGCGTGTATGAAATTTTTATATTTATCGACATTTCATTACCATAATTGACTGCGCTTGCTTCTGCGGGAGACGGACACGGGGCTGCCTCCCGGGCAGGGGAGCGGGTCCCCGGAGTGGAATTTGCAATGGAAAACAAGGCAGGATGGATTTTTTTTTATTGTGTAAATATGATGAGTTGGATTTTCAGCTTCCGCCGGAGAACGCCGGGTGTCCGGGCACCTCCTTCGAGGGCGAGAAAAAGGGACGCGTCCGTGGGACCACGACCCCCCCCACAGGTGTCAATCAGGTGGCGGGGAGTCAACTGCGCGTGAAAAGGCCGCGGGGAGCGGGAGGCGTGTCCCGCAGGATGGCCTTGGCGGTGAGGTGGTCGCTGTCCCCTATGTCTGTCCATCAGGGGTCCTAAGAGCGGCCTTGGTTTCTGCCTCTGATGAACCAGGACACACACCACGGGGCCCCGGCGACTGCCCGCCCAGCACACTGTCTGCCACGTGGCTCAGGGGTTGAGCGTCGACCTAGGAACCAGGAGGTCAGGGTTCGATTGCCGGTCAGGGCACAGGCCCGGGTTGCGGGCTCCATCCCCAGTGTGGGGCGTGCAGGAGGCAGCCGGTCCATGATTCTCTCATCCTTGATGTTTCTATCTCTCTCCCTCTCCCTTCCTCTTTAAAGATCAATGAATAAAAAATATTTCTAAGATAGGGCTCATTCCATTCTGATCGGTGTGTCGTTCTAACAGGTGTGCAGTGAGTTCCAACACTAGACGGTCACCCTGGCTAGTGTGGCTCAGTGGATAGAGCGTCAGCCTGCGGACTGAAGGGTCCGGGGTTCGATTCCCTGGTCGGGGCACAGGCCCGGGTTGCGGGCTCCATCCCCAGTGGGGGCCGTGCAGGAGGCGGCTGATCACTGATTCTCTCTCATCATGGATGTTTCTGCCTCCCCCTTCCTCTCTGACATCAATAAGGTTAAAAAAATATATAACATTTTTAATTTTATGATTCTTTTAAAAATTCATTTTA